GTGTTCAAGACAAGTTTGGACGAGGCCTTGGGTGGTATGATTTACCGTGATTTGCCAATGGCAGAGGAGTTGGAACTAGATGATCTTAAGGTCCTTTCCAACCCTAACTATACTATGACTCTATGATTCTATGAATATGGAATGCCTGGAGAGCTTTACCTCAATGAGGAGCATTGAGGTTGCATTGATGAATAGATCCATGAATAGATGAGAGGTCAGACGATAGATGATTGAGTGATCCTGTACTGGGCTCCTGATAGGATTCTACAGGTGCAGGGACGGATTGAAAGATGGAAAGGACGATGAATGATGTATGGATGAGGCATGCATGTGTAGATGGATGGATGGATGGATGGATGGATGGATGGATGGATGGATGGATGATGGGTGAGTGGATCCTTGATAGACGGATTGGTGGATGGATGTATGAATGGGTGGATGGATTGTTCGATGGATAGAAGAAAGCATTTATTTGTAGAAGGATGAGTAGAGAGTAACGATGTTTGTTGAATGAGTGGAGGGCTGGAAGGAGGCGGAATGCATGGAGTGTTGAATGGATGAAGGGATACAACACTGAATGCTTGCACTGATGCATGGTTGAGAGAATCTGAGAGTCTCAAAGGCAGGTTTCACTTTGCTGAATCAGTGATTGATTGAACGTACAGAAGGCGGGTGGTGGAGTTTGTGCCTGATCATGTGGTGAGGGTTTGAAATGTCTCTAGAGCAGCACGGCTTCCTGTGAGAGGGTTGGATAGGACGGATGAATGGATGTATTTGGATTTGTGAGTAGAAGAATGGAGAGATGGACCCATGGAATCCAGAATGTCTGGAGTGCTGAGTCCCAGTATTAAGAGTTGCACGGATGAATGTGTGCATCAATGAATAACTGATCAGATGGTGGATGTTTGAGTTTGTCACAGATCCTGTATGGGGTGCTTGATGGGACTTCAGAGACGCATGGGTGGAAGGAAATTTGGAAAAGAGGATGATGGATGGAGGTATTGATGAATGAATGGGTGATGGACGGATGGATGGATGGATGGATGGATGGATGGATGGATGGACTGATGGAGGGATGGATGGTAGATGGATGGATAGATGGATGGATAGATGGATGGATGGGTGGGTGGATGGGTGGGGGGATGGATGGATGGATGGATGGAGGGATGGATGGAGGGAAGGATGGGAGAGGAAGTTGGGATGGTTCAGCCTGGAGAAGAGAAAACTGCGTGGAGACCTCATAGCAGCGTTTCGGTATCTGAAGGGGGCCTATAGGGATGCCGGGGAGGGACTCTTCATTAGAGACTGTAGTGACAGGACAAGGGGTAACGGGTTAAAACTGAAACAGGGGAAGTTTAGGCTGGATCTAAGGAGGAAATTCTTTCCTGTCAGGGGGGTGAGGCACTGGAATGGGTTGCCCAGGGAGGTTGTGAATGCTCCATCCCTGGCAGTGTTCAAGGCCAGGTTGGACGAGGCCTTGGGTGATATGGTTTAGCGTAAGGTGTCCCTGCCCATGGCGGGAGGGGTGAAACTGGATGATCTCAAGGTCCTTTCCAACCCTAACGATTCGATGATTCTATGATTCTAAGAATGCATGGATGGACGGATGATGGAGGGATGAGTGGATAGGTTAAAGGATGCATGGCTGGCTGGCTGGCTGGCTGGCTGGCTGAGTGTGGGAAGGAAGGAAGGAAGGAAGGAAGGAAGGAAGGAAGGAAGGAAGGAAGGAAGGAAGGAAGGAAGGAAGGAAGGAAGGAAGGAAGGAAGGAAGGAAGGAAGGAAGGAAGGAAGGAAGGAAGGAAGGAAGGAAGGAAGGAAGGAAGGAAGGAAGGAAGGAAGGAAGGAAGGAAGGAAGGAAGGAAGGGATGAGTGGGTGGATGGATGGATGGACGGATGTATGGATGTGTGGGTGGATGAAAGGATTGAAGGATGGATGAATGGATGGATGGACAGATGGATGGATGGATGAATGGATGAGTGGGTGGATGGAAGGATGGGTAGATGGAGGGATGAATGGATGGATGGATTTACAGATGAATGGTTACATGGATGGCTGATGGATGGATGGATGGATGCATGGATGGATGGATGAGTGGGTGGATGGATGGATGGATTGAAGGATGGATGGATGCATTCATGGATGAATGGGGGATGGATGGATGGAAGGAGAAAGGGACGGAGGGATGGATGAGTGGGTGGATGGATGGATGGATGGATGAATGGATGGATGAATGGAAGGATTCATGGATGGATGGACGGATGGACGGATGGATGGACGGATGAGTGGATAGGTGGAAGGATGGATGGATGGATGGATGGATGGATGGATGGATGGATGGATGGACGGATGGGTGGATGGATGGGTGGATGGATGGATGGACGGACGGACGGACGGAGGGATGGATGGATGGATGGATGGATGGATGGATGGATGGATGGATGGATGGATGGATGAATGCATGGATGAATGAAGGGATGAGTGGGTGGATGGAAGGATGGATAGATGGACGGGCAGACGGAAGGATGGATGGATGGATGGATGGATGGATGGATGGATGGATGGATGGATGGATGGATGGATGGGTGGATGGATGGATGGATGTGTGGGTGAATGAAAGCATCGTGGGATGGATGAATGGATGGAAGGACAGATGGATGGATGGAAAAGTGGGTGCATGGAAGAATGGGTAGATGGAGGGATGAATGGGTGGATGGATTTACCGTTGAATAGTTACATGGATGGCTGATGAGTGGATCGAAGGATTGAAGGATGAATGGAAGCCTGCATGGATGGATGGATGGATGGATGGATGGAAAAATTTGGAAATACAAGTAGATGGTTGGATTGAATGATTCTTAGAATACGGAATGCCTGGAGAGCTTTACATTAATGAGAAGCATTGAGGGTTGCATTGGTGAATAGATCCATCAGTAGATGAGTGGTCAGACAGTAGACGATTGAGTACGTCGATGATCCTGTACCGGGCTCTTGACAGGACTCTATAGATGCAGGGATGGAATGAATGATGGAAGGGACAATGAATGATGTATGGACGATGCATTCATATGTGGATGGATGGATGAATGGATGAACAGATGGATGGATGGAGGGATGTATGGAGAGAAAGATTCACATACAGATGCTCATGGCCTTCATTTTGATGTCTCCACTGCAGCCCCAGCCCGACAGGAGGAGGAATCCCAGCCAGTGCTGGGCGAGCTCAGGGTGTCCGAGGTCACCTCTGACTCGGTGCAGCTGGAGTGGAGCGTCCCCGAGGGCACCTTTGACTCCTTCACGCTGCAGTACCGCGATGCACAAGGCCAGCCCCAGGTGCTGCCCGTGGACGGGGGTTCCCGCACGCTGACGCTGCCGGGGCTGTCCCCGTCCCGCCGCTACAAGTTCAACCTGTACGGGCTGTGGGGTCGCACACGCCTGGGCCCCGTCTCCACCGACACTGTCACAGGTGAGGGGGCTCTGGCACCAGCTGTGGCCCCTTGGACATGAATGGATGGATGAGTGGAAGGATGGATAGATGGATGGGTGGATAGTTGAATGATTGATGGTTGCATGCATGGATGGATGGATAGGGTTATGGGGGTTGTTATGTTTAGGCTTTTGTTCACACTCACAAGTGACTGTTTTGATCACTCGATGATTCCTTGGAGGGATGGGTTAAAGAACCAGTACAGAGAAGAGTGCAGTGAAAGACAGAATAGTGAATAGGTCCATGGATGGAAGGATGGATGATGGGTGGGTGGATGGATGGATGGATGGATGGATGGATGGATGGATGGATGGATGAATGCATGCATGGATGGATGAATGGGGGGATGGATGGATGGATGGATGGATGGAGGGAAGGATGGGTGAGGAAGTTGGGATGGTTCAGCCTGGAGAAGAGAAAGCTGCGTGGAGACCTCATAGCAGCGTTTCAGTATCTGAAGGGGGCCTATAGGGATGCTGGGGAGGGACTCTTCATTAGAGACTGTAGTGACAGGACAAGGGGTAACGGGTTCAAACTGAAACAGGGGAAGTTTAGGCTGGATCTAAGGAGGAAATTCTTTCCTGTCAGGGGGGTGAGGCACTGGAATGGGTTGTCCAGGGAGGTTGTGAATGCTCCATCCCTGGCAGTGTTCAAGGCCAGGTTGGACGAGGCCTTGGGTGATATGGTTTAGCGTAAGGTGTCCCTGCCCATGGCAGGGGGGGTGAAACTGGATGATCTCAAGGTCCTTTCCAACCCTAACGATTCGATGATTCTATGATTCTAAGAATGCATGGATGGACGGATGATGGAGGGATGAGTGGATAGGTTAAAGGATGCATGGCTGGCTGGCTGGCTGGCTAGCTGGCTGGCTGAGTGTGGGAAGGAAGGAAGGAAGGAAGGAAGGAAGGAAGGAAGGAAGGAAGGAAGGAAGGAAGGAAGGAAGGAAGGAAGGAAGGAAGGAAGGAAGGAAGGAAGGAAGGAAGGAAGGAAGGAAGGAAGGAAGGAAGGAAGGAAGGAAGGAAGGAAGGAAGGAAGGAAGGAAGGATGAATGGATGAGTGGGTGGATGGATGGATGGATGGATGGACGGATGTATGGATGTGTGGGTGGATGAAAGGATTGAAGGATGGATGAATGGATGGATGGATGAATGGATGAGTGGGTGGATGTAAGGATGGGTAGATGGAGGGATGAATGGATGGATGGATTTACATATGGATGGTTACATGGATGGCTGATGGATGGATGGATGGATGGATGGATGGATGGATGGATGAGTGGGTGGATGGATGGATGGATTGAAGGATGGATGGATGCATGCATGGATGAATGTGGGATGGATGGATGGAAGTAGGGAGGGACGGAGGGATGGATGGATGTGTGGATGGATGGGTGGATGGATGGATGGATGGATGGATGGATGAATGGATGAATGAAGGGATGAGTGGGTGGATGGAAGGATGTATAGATGGACGGGCAGACGGAAGGATGGATGGATGGATGGATGGATGGATGGATGGATGGATGGATGGATGGATGAATGGATGGAAGGACAGATGGATGGATGGAAAAGTGGGTGCATGGAAGGATGGGTAGATGGAGGGATGAATGGATGGATGGATTTAGAGTTGAATAGTTACATGGATGGCTGATGAGTGGATCGATGGATTGAAGGACAGATGGATGGATGGATGGATGGATGGATGGATGGATGGATGGATGGAAAAATTTGGAAATACGAGTACATGGTTGGATAGAATGATTCTTAGAATACGGAATGCCTGGAGAGCTTTACATTAATGAGAAGCATTGAGGGTTGCATTGATGAATAGATCCATCAGTAGATGAGTGGTCAGACAGTAGACGATTGAGTACGTCGATGATCCTGTACCGGGCTCTTGATAGGACTCTGTAGATGCAGGGATGGAATGAATGATGGAAGGGACAATGAATGATGTATGGACGATGCATGCATATGTGGATGGATGGATGAATGGATGAACAGATGGTTGGATGATTGGAGAGAAAGATTCACATACAGATGCTCGTGGCCTTCATTTTGATGTCTCCACTGCAGCTCCAGCTCCACAGGAGGAGGAATCCCAGCCAGTGCTGGGTGAGCTCAGGGTGTCCGAGGTCACCTCTGACTCAGTGCAGCTGGAGTGGAGCGTCCCCGAGGGCACCTTTGACTCCTTCACGCTGCAGTACCGCGATGCACAAGGCCAGCCCCAGGTGCTGCCCGTGGACGGGGGTTCCCGCACGCTGACGCTGCCGGGGCTGTCCCCGTCCCGCCGCTACAAGTTCAACCTGTACGGGCTGTGGGGTCGCACACGCCTGGGCCCCGTCTCCACCGACACTGTCACAGGTGAGGGGGCTCTGGCACCAGCCCCGCTGAACCGCCTCTTGTAGTGGACAGAAGCTTGGGCAGGGCCCGTGCTCGTGCCTTGGTCAGTGGAGGAAAGGGGGTGGGAGGGGATTTGGGATCAGCGGAAGAATGGGGGCGTGACAGGTTGGAAGGATGGAGGGGTTGTTCAGGGTGGATGGTTCGATGGGTGGATGGATGGACGGATGGGTGGATAGTTGGGTGGATAGTTGATTGATTGATGGCTGGATGCATGGATGGATGGATAGAGTTATGGGGGTAGTTAAATTTTGGCTTTGGTTCACAGTCTCAAGTGTCTGTTTTGATCGCTCGATGATTCATTGGAGGGATGGGTTAAAGAACCAGTACAGAGAAGAGTGCAGTGAAAGACAGAATAGTGAATAGGTCCGTGAATGGAAGGATGGATGATGGGTGGATGGATGGATGGATGGACGGATGGATGGATGGATGCATGGATGGATGGATGGATGGATGGATGGATGGATGGATGGATGGATGGATGACTAGAAGAAAGGATTTATCAGTAGAAGGCTGAGTAGAGAGTAACGATGTTTGTTGAAAGAGTGGAGGGCTGGAAGGCAGCGGAATGCATGGAGTGTTGAATGGATGAAGGGATACAACACTGAATGCTTGCACTGATGCATGGTTGAGAGAATCTGAGAGTCTCAAAGGCAGGTTTCACTTTGCTGAATCGGAAGCGTGGGCAGGGCCCGTGCTCGTGCCTTGGTCAATGGAGGAAAGGGGGTGGGAGGGGATTTGGGATCAACGGAAGGATGCGGGTGTGACAGGTTGGAAGGGTGGAGGGGTTGTTCAGGGTGGATGGTTGGATGGGTGGATGGATAAGTGGACGGATGGATGGATGGATGGAAGGATGGATGGATGGATGATGAATGGGTGGATGGATCGATGGATGGATAGTGTTTGAAATGTCTCCAGAGCAGCACGGCTTCCTGTGAGAGGGTTGGGTAGGACGGATGAATGGATGTATTTGGATTTGTGAGTAGAAGAATGGAGAGATGGAGCCATGGAATCCAGAATGTCTGGAGTTCTGAGTCCCAGTATTAAGAGTTGCATGGATGAATGTGTGCATCAATGAATAACTGATCAGATGGTGGATGTCTGAGTTTGTCACAGATCCTGTATTGGGTGCTTGGTAGGACTTTACAGATGCGTGGGTGGAAGGAAAGGTGGAAAGGAGGATGATTGATGGAGGTATTGATGAATGAATGGACGACGGCTGGATGGATGGATGGGTGAATGGACTGATGGAGGGACGGATGGAAGATGGATGGAAGGATGGATGGATGGATTAATAGACAGGGGGATGGATGGATGGATGGATGGATGGATGGATGGATGGATGGATGGATGTTGGGGTCGACGGGGCGATGAATGGATAGATAAAAGAATGGATGGATGAGTGAGTAGATCAAAGAATGGAAGAATGGATGGATGCATGGATGTTTGGGGGGATGGATAAATGGATGGATGGATGGATGGATGGATGGATGGAAGAATGGAAGAATGGATGGATCCATGGATGTTTGAGAGAATGAATGTATAGAAGGATGGATGGATGGATGGATTTGCAGATGAGTTGTTACATGGATGGCTGGTGAACGAAAGGATGGATTGAAGGATGGTTGGATGGATGGATGAGTGGGTGCATGGACGCATCGTTGGATGGATCGATGGATGGATTGATAGGTGAATGGATGAATGAGTGGGTGGATGGGAGGATGGATGGATGGAGGGATGAATGGATGGATGGAAGTGTGGGTGTATGGATGGATGAATGGATGGATGCATGGATGAATGGCTGGAATGTTGGATGGATGGATGGATGGATGGATGGATGGATGGATGGATGGATGGATGGATTTATGAGTAAAAGCATGAGTATACATAAACAGTGTGTAACGAATTCCTATAGAGCTGGATGCTGATGGAAAGCATGGAGGGCTGAATGGATGAAAGGATACAGCAATGGATGGTTGGAGTTATGGATGGTTGATGGACCCTGAAAGTCTTCAAGGCCAGGTCTGACTGTGCTGAATCGACAAATGAATGTGCTAAAGGTGGATGATGGTGTTCTTCGTCATCATGTGTTGAGTGTTTGAGAGGTCTTTAGAGCAGCATGGCTGCCTGTGGGATGGATGGATGGATGGATGGACGGATGGATGGATACATTTGGAAATATGAAAGGATGGATGGATAGAATGTGAATCATTGAGGGTTGCATTGATGAATAGATCCATCAATAGATGAGTGGTCAGACAGTAGATGATTGAGCATGTCGATGATCCTGTACTGGGCCCTTTATAGGACTCTATAGATGCAGGGTTGGATTGATAGATGGATGGATGGATGTGTGGATGGATGGATGGATGCATGGATGCATGGATGGAAGTAAGAAACGATTTATGAGATGAAGGATGAGTATACATAAACAATATATGTTGAATTCCTGGAGAGCTGGATGCTGAAGGAAAGCATCTAGCGCTGAATGGTTGAAAGAATACAGCAATGGATGGCTGGAGTTATGGATGGTTGATCGACCCTGAAATTCTTCAAGGGCAGCTGTGACAATGATGAATCAGTAAATGAATGTACTGAAGGTGGATGATGGGGTTGTTTGTCATCATGGGTTGAGTGTTTGACAGGTCTTTAGAGCAGCATGGCTGCCTGTGGGATGGATGGATGGATGGATAGATGCATGGATGGATGGATGGATGGATGAATTTGGAAATATGAGTTGGTTAAGGTGGTGAGGCACTGGAATGGGTTGCCCAGGGAGGTTATGAATGCTCCATCCCTGGCGGTGTTCAAGACAAGTTTGAACGAGGCCTTGGGTGGTATGATTTACCGTGAGGTGTACCTGCCAATGGCAGGGGAGTTGGAACTAGATGATCTTAAGGTCCTTTCCAACCCTAATTATGCAATGATTCTGTGATTCTATGAATATGGAATGCCTGGAGAGCTTTACCTCAATGAGGAGCATTGAGGTTGCATTGATGAATAGATCCCTCAATAGATGAGTGGTCAGACAATAGATGATTGAGTACGTCGGTGATCCTGTACTGGGCTCTTGATAGGATTCTGTAGATGCAGGGATGGAATGAATGATGGAAGGGATGATGAATGATGTATGGATGAGGCATGCATGCGTGGATGGATGGATGGATGGATGGATGGATGGATGGACGGATGGAAGGATGATGGATGGGTGAAGGGACTGACAGAGGGATGGATGTTGGGTGGATGGATGGATGGATGGATGGATGGATGAAGAGACAGACAGGGGGATGGGTGGCTAGCTTGCTGAATGAATGGATCGAAAGATGAACGGAATGACGGATGGAGAGATGGATGGATGGATGCATGGATGGATGGTTGAATGAATAGACAGGGGGATGGATGGATGGATGCATGGATGGATGGTTGAATGAATCGGCAGGGGGATAGATGGATGGATGGTTGGATGGATGGATGGATGGATGGATGGATGGATGGATGGATGGATGGATGGATGGATGGATGATGTGTGGAGGGATGTATGGATGGATGCAAGAATGGCTGGATGCGTGGATGGATGGATGGATGGATGGATGGATGGATGGATGGATGGATGAGTGGGTGGATGGATGGATGGATGGATGAGTGGGTGGATGGGAGGATGGATGGGTGCTGGGATGAATGGATGGATAGATTTACAGATTAATGGTTCAATGGATGCCTGATGAATGGGTGGATGGATGGATGGATGGATGGATGGGTGAATGGATGGATGGATGGATGGATGCATGGATGGATGGATGGATGGATGAATGGATGAATGGATGCATGGACGGATGTACGAAACGATTTATGAGTAGAAGGATGAGTATACAAAAACTGTGTGTTGAATTCCTGGAGAGCTGGGTGCTTATGGAAAGCATGGAGGGCTGAATGGATGAAAGGATACAGCAATGGATGGTTGGAGTTACAGATCGACCCTGAAAGTCTTCAAGGCCAGGTCTGATGGTGCTGAATCAGCAAAGGAATGTGCTAAAGGTGGATGATGGGATTGTTTGTCATCATGGGTTGAGTGTTTGGCAGGTCTTTAGAGCAGCATGGCTGCCTGTGGGATGGATGGACACGTGGATGGATGGAGGAGTGGGTGGATGGAAGCATGCATGGGTGGATCGATGGATGGAGGGAGGGAGGGATGGATGAATGGATGAGTGGGTGGATGGATGGGTGCATGGAAGATGATTGGATAGGTGGAAGGAGGGAGGGAGGGAGGGAGGGAGGGATGCATGCGTGGGTGGATGGATGGGTGCATGGAAGGATGCATGGAAGGACGGATGGATGGATGGATGAGTGGATAGGTGGAAGGATGGATGGATGGATGGATGGATGGATGGATGGATGGATGGATGGATGGATGGATGGATGAGTGGATAGGTGGAAGGATGGA